CGGAGCCTCGCACAGGTCACCCCGCGCGTTTCCGCCGCCGGCTCCTTCCAGCCTCCACACATTCCCACGCACCCCAGAGGCATCCCCAGACACGGCCGGCCAGCGAGGACGTTCGGTGTCACGCGCAAGAACGCTCCACAAAGGAACGCGGGGCTTACCTCCCTCCGTCACAGGGCCGGTTTCGGTGCCCATTGGGGTGAACCCCTCAGCTTGCAGCTTTCACCACCTTTTACTTTTCCTCAGACAGACACAGAGCTCGCCGCGCGGGAAAACAAACCCACGGCGACGCTCCGGGCGTTGTCAGGCTGCGTGGTCGGCGTCCCACGCACCCGGAGGGGTCCGCGGGGTCCGGGGGTCCGCGCCGGGCCCTCGCCGAGCCCTCGGCTCAGAGGAGAGACTTCAGGTTTCAGGTTCGCCGGGGGCCCGCCAAGTACATTCTGCCCCACGTTCCCACGAATCCCCGCCGGGCGCGACGGGGACGCGGGTGGACACAGGCGTCCCGTGGGTCACTCGGGCCGTGGGAGGGAGGGAGCCGGCGGGCAGCCCGGTGGCGGCGTCCCTCGCGGAGCGAGCGGCCACTTCGGGACGGCCGGGGCCAGAGCGGAAGTCCGCTGCGCCCGCCCTGCGACTTTGAAACCGGTGCCGGGGCCCGCTCCTTGGAGACCGTGATGCCGCCTGCGTCATTACGCGGGCGTGAGCGCTGACGTCACCACGCTTCCTCGCGTCCTCGCACGCCATTGGCTACCTGTCGAGCGGTGAGCGCAGCTGTGAGCACCTGGAGGACAACCGGCCGGCGGCGGGAGAGGCGGCGGCGGGAGAGCTGGCGGGCTGGCGTCTGCAGGTGGCGGGGCCCACCTGCGTGTTTTTGTGTGTGTGTTTATTGTTTTTGTTTTGTTTTGTTTTTTTAAGAAAACCCCAAAATGTAAACCTAGGTAGGTCATTAAATACATGTTTTCAATTCCCCAATATCTTTGCTACCTAGCACTTCTGGACTGGGAGACCCCGCTTCCCAAAGTGGGAGCGTGGGAAGAAAGGAGCTAGGGTTCTGCGGCCGGGCCCACACCAGCTGGCTGGAGACCGCGCTGACGCCCCTGGGGCTCCGGAGAAAGGCAGCTGCTGTTTAAATAGCTGGCTGTGCGGCAAGGAGGCAGGTAGTTGGAAGGACTCCAAATCCTGCAAATCCAGCAGTTGTTTCTTTAGAGATAACTTTGCATCCCCCGCCCCCCAAAAGGAAAGACAAAAGTTACATTTTTGCAAGAGAAGAATTAGGCAAAACTTTACATTTTATGGGTGGGTTACAATTCCTGTTATTAAAAATTGGTTTTGTCTGGATGTAACCCTTATCATTTTTTTCAGCAGTTCACATTGGAGGAGATTTCAGGGCTAGCAAATGTTAACTTGAACTAGCCACTAGTTTTGGTGCTTTTTAATAGATTGCGTTTTTATGGATTGAAGTAGTGTCACTAAATAGACATGTTGTAGATGTAGCTGATGTAGCTCAATTTGGCTTTCTCTTTAACAGTTAAATTTGTGGTCCTGTACTCATAATGTTAGATACACCAAGTGATGTTAGCAGAATGTATTAAGAAATTAAAAAAACTCGTCCAACTGTGTCCAGTTAGGCACGTATTTGAAGCCCTGTTACAGGCTTTCTCCATACTCACGATTAAGAAAATAAGATGGTCCCTTCCTCTAAAGATTGGCTGTTAAATATTGAGGTTTATCTAATAACCACAAAAAAGTTTAATTTAGCTTTAAGTCAGTGAAGATTGAACTTGATTTGGTTTTTAGCAGCCACGAAGTTAACACAAAAACTTGTTGGAAGGAGAAGTTGAGTGTGCAAGCTCCAACTCTTTCAAAGGTCGGTGTATGACTTTTTCTTCATGAACGTCTCACTGACTCCCCAAGGATGTGCTTGTAAGTTCTTCTATGCTTGAACCTTGTATATTGTCATATTGTGGTTTAAGTTGGCATCGAACAAGTAGTTATAAACTCGACTCGACATCTACACTAAAAGTTGATAAGATACATTAGTGTTGACGAAAGCAAAGAGCACCTCATGGATACATCTAACCATATATAGAAAGAATAAGCCCACACTGCCTTGGGTGAAGGAGACACTAAATGAAGGAAAATGGGTTGATAAGTGCTGAAACTACTAAGATAGTTAGGACTGAACTAGCCAGGACCATGTGCATATCTCTAGAACACTTAACCATACTTTATGATCTCCAGGGTCAGTCAGACTATCCTGTCTCCTAACCTTGTTTTCTATAAGATAACCACTTCAGTGCAAAAAGCATCAATAATACTCACTGTCACAAACTTTGAAATGAATTTATTGCATGAACAGACTTATAACAAGTAGAACAATAGGGGAGAATTTTTTAAAAAGATTATAGTTAAATGAGGATTATGAGACTGAAAATATCCTTTATGCTCATGTAACTGAGTAAAATGCCAAAAAATTCAGAAAAAAGCAAGTTTACAATCAATTTATGATCAATATTGTCTACATAAAACTTCAAAAAATGAAACTGTGAAAAGGTGAAGTTTAGTCAACTTTTACCCCATTTTCATTCTGTAATTTATATGGAGCAACACAGAACTACTTCGTTATTGCAGAAAGGGGTCAAGATATAAAGCCATTTAAAAATCCACCTTTTTTGTGTTACCGAAGACAGCAGCTATTCTTTTCTTTTAAGAAAACACTCATACTGACAATTGCTAAACAGCTAAAGAACACTTTAGGACTTTTACTTTTCAGTGTTGTTTAAATCACACACATTAAACACTTCATTAAGCTAGACAGTGCACTGTGGTTACCTGAAATTGTTTTCTCCTTTAGGGATATTACTACAACCATAACCTCTCCCCACCCCTACCCCACCAGCAAAGCTGGTGAAGATACGGAATTCAAAGCTCTAATGGACCTTTTTCAAGGGACACTGTGGCCTATGTGGAGTTTACACGGGCCTCTTGAGGGAAGAAAGCTAATCTGTTTAGTATTTGTGTATTTTACTAAAATGGCAGCTTACAGTTGTGTATCTGCTATTGTGATGTCAATGCCCATGTTTCAAGTGGAAAAAAAATGTGCTGTGTATACAAGATTTCTGGAAAAGTAAAGAAAAAAACCCTTTATGACTCACACAGTTTAAAAGTACCTGACACATAAGTGTGCACTTCTAGTTGAGCTGCTTTTGTCTTATTATAAATAGTTTCTTTTGGGGAAGAAAAAGATAACCACTTCAGAAACATCTAGTATTAATGATTTGAACAAAAAATTTTTTCTTTAAGCAAACCTATATACTTTAATAATAAATAGGTAGCCTTTTTTGAATATTTACTATGTGCCAGGCACTGTTCTAAGTAATGTTTAAATATGTATACATCCCAATTTAATTCTTACAAAAACCTTTTAAGGTAGGTGCTATTTAATTTTTAAAAAAATAATAACTTGCTGATGATCACAATTGGAAAGTGCCTGAATTGGGATTTGAATCCAGGCAGACTGGTTCCATTGTCACAATTGTTGACCACTATGTAGAGGCCTCCCGGGAGAGTAATACAATTTACAGCTAGGGTAATATTATTTATAGCTAGTATAATATAATTTGCAGGTTTGGCTTATATAGCCAGGTCACCTTTAATTGCATTTAGTGAATCCTCACCGTACATGTTCTGTTTTCCTCTTACTAATTTACAGTTGATTTTCAAATTGTTGCATGGGATTTATATTGAGGAGTTACCCTTCCACCTAGAAAACAGCTCCCACTTCAGTAGAATTATTAGAGTCTTCAAATGTTCACTGGTGGTCCTTCAACATTTTTCTTTCCTAGAAAAATCAGGCGTCTGCTTGAGTCCTCCAAGCTCCTCCTGCAGAAGGTGTAGGCAGCTGGGTGGAGCCTAACGCTGGGCTTCTCCTGTGATCTCAGCTGGAAGCAGGGAGCCAGGGGCACTGAGGAGAGCTTCCCGGTCTGTGTTCTCTGCTGGTTATGCTTTCTTCATTCTCATTCCATGCACCTTCTCCCAGGCTTCTCATTAGCTTTTTCTCTGGCAACTTATTTTTTATCTGAATCCTTCTGCTGGCACAGTTGCCTCCCCCTTTCGGCCTGACTTCCTCATTTTTCCTTTACTCTCTTTTCATTGGAGGGGAAGCGGGGGACAAGGCTGGAGAATGGAAACTGAAATCACTTTTGTAGAAAACTAAAGAAAATGTCGTGAACAGAGGAATTTGGAAATTTTCCTTGCAAAACGTTCTGTTGAGAAAACATCTGTTCTACAGCTTCCTTCTTTTAATCTTCATGGAATTCTTTTCCTCTCCGAAGCTTTTAATGCACCGAGGTTCTGTCTCCTCTGTCTTCCTTCCTTTCCTTTTAAAGGTCTTTCCATAGTACAGGGAAAGCACGGACATAATTTAAAATTGTTTTTTACTTTTTAAATGAAAGAGTAATTTGAAGAATAGCAGTTAATAATGTAGGAAAACATACACACACACACAGGATTAACAGTGAACATTCTTTTAAGAAAGTCTGAACAGCCAACATTAAAATTACACAAGAGGGTGGTGATCACCTTGAATTAATGTATTCTTTATGTACTGTTCCTAATATTCCGACTTTTTAGACATGTTCAGCATATACTATATAAAGGAGAAAAGAGGTAGTCACCACACTCCTTAAAAAGACTTAGCCTTAAATTGGACTTTAAAAAATATTTTAAAAATTATTCATTTATTTTTAAATAGTAATGAGTGTCTATCATAGTATAGAATTCAAATAGGTAAAAAAAAGTGATACAGTTGAAAGTAAGTCTCCTTCCTCTGCTGTCTCAGGCAGACCTAAAGAGGCACCCACTGCTACCACCTGCTTGTATATGCTTCCTGAGATAGCGTATACATTCACAAGCATACATGCACATAGTCTTCCTTTTTATTAAATGAATGCTTACTTTTTTGCACCTTGCTTTTTTCCACTTAGTATATTTTAGATGTATATATAGGGCTGCCTCACTCTTTTTAACAGCTATGTAGTATTTCCTTGCCTTATATAGCATAATTTCCCTACCAGTCCTCTACTGATGGGTATTTAAGTTGCTTGCAACATTTTGTTATTCTAAACAATGTTGTAGTGTATATTTTTATGCTTATGTTATGTTGAATATGTGCAGGTCTAATAACTCCTAGAACTAGAATTGTTGAGTCAAAGGATATTTGCATTTTTTATTTAAATAGCTATTGAGGGATTGCCCTTGATGGAGGCTGTGCCAGTTACAACCCAACAGTAGTATGGGATTACTTCAGTGTTCTCATTAGCATGTTACCACCTTCTGACCCTTGACAATCTAAGTGAAGAATAGTAATTTATTATTGCATTTCTCTTTTTAAAAAAATTTTATTGATTAATTTTAAAAAGAGAGAAAGGGGGGAGAGAGAAAGAGAAACATCGATTTGTTGTTCCACTTATTTATTCATTCATTGGTTGTTTCTTTTATGTGTCCTGACCAGAGATTTAACCTCAACCTTGGTGTCTTGGGTCAACACTAGCCAACTGAGCTACTCTGCCAGGGCTTAGTTTGCATTTCTATCATTATAAGTGAGGTTGAAGATTTTACTTTTCTTTCTGTGAACTGGCTGTTCATATCTTTACCCATTTTTCTGTTGGGATATTGGTCTTTTCCTTATTGACTTCTAGGAGCCCTTTAAAGATTAAAGAAATTAGCTATCTGTTTGAAACATGACTTGCAGATATCTTTTTCCCAGACTCTCTTTTGATTTTGAAATGGTGAGCTTTTTTTGCTGGGGAATAGGCAGACTTCTGCTTTTAATTTTGTTATTTTTACATAGTCAAATGTATCTATCAGTTTTTCCTTTTATGTCTTCTGCGTTTGTAGTTATATTTTAAAAGGCTTTTTCTACTGTAAGATCATCTTTTTAAAAATCCTCCCATTTTTTTCTATTTTGTTTTTATATGGCTTTATTGTATGTTTATATCTTTGATTCATTTAAAACTCAGTTTGGTGTAGGGACCCAACTCTATTACTTTGGACTGTAAAATGGACCAATTGATAATGGACCTAGTTGCTTAGCTCAATTCCCCATAGACTTCTTCCTTACACTTTATTTCCCTAGCACCTGGCATGGTGCATGAAACAAAGTGAGTAACTAATACATCTTTACTAAACTAAATTGAAAGGAAATTTCTGGATATGCTATATCATGCTAGTTATTTGCATTGTTTTGGTATGTAGTGTTGAAAGAGAGAATGATACCACTAACACAGTTGATTTCTCTTGCACAAAACCTTAGCATCATGAAATTTTAGATCCAGGGACTAGAACAATTCTTTGCTCAACAAATGAATGAGTTCCTATTACAGTCATTCTAGCTGGGGCCACAGAGGCACTAAACAAATACGACATATGGTTTAATTGCTCTGAATCAAAATGGAACAGTGCAGGGGCAATACAGAATGACAGGGAGCCGAGTGCTTCTGGGAAGCACACCAGTCCGGACTGTGATGGACTTTGACCATTTAATTGTCTGTACTTCGTATGAGCACAAGTACAAAGAAATTGAAAGGTAGTGGGGGGTTAAGCCTCAGGAGACAGTCCTAGGTATCCCCAGGGAGTTGAAAAGGCAACCAGTTGCTTCTGTCTGGGTCCCTGTTATCTTTAGATTAGATTGTAAACTAGTTGGCAAGGCTATACTTTTTAGGTTAATTTTGCTATAAATCTTATGCATGGTTAGATTGACAAGACTGTTCTTTAAGCAAATTAATAAATTCGTTATTCTGATAAAAAAATAAAGTCATTTTATGCAATTAAAACCAAAATTATATTCTACTTTTGCACATGTCAGCCACACTCTCCTCCCTAATGGTGGAAGTCTAGTCATATTTCTAAGCAGTAATTTTGAAACAATGCTCAAAGAAAACCTAGGGGAAAAGGCAGATGGAACCTGTAGAAAGGCTTGGGGTAACACTGCCTTATACTCTTTGCTTTTATCTTTTCACCTCTCCTTATCTTTCAGGTAAGATTAGATTTGGAAGTAATATGAAACCTTTAAAGTATATCTTACTCTGACCATGAGACCCATGGAAGTGACAGGCCACTTTTAGGAGCTCATCACTGGCTATGGTTTAATTCTGTTTAGAGATAGAGGCAACTGCTTGAAAGAGCTGGGAGTTGAAAATTTTTAGTGGAAACCCACTGCATAGGGTAGGGGACCCTTTAACGTGTGCTGCATTTTGTGGGTGTGATGGCTGTGTGGAGAATGAACGAATCTACCCAAAACTTCCTGGCTGTTAAGCTATGTTTTGCCAGGACTGTCAAGAATTGTCAAGCTCCAAGTTAGGAGACTAGCATATTCTCTCAACATATTGGTGCCAGAATCAGATTTAATGAGCATTTCTAATATCTTCATTCATTCTTATTTCTTTCTATATGCTATAAGAAGGGACTTAGTAGTATCAAAATTTGGGGTAGACAGTTATACATTTATTTTTGGAGAAAGCATCTGTATATTTTAACTGAAGAAAATAAATTTATTATTGAGGTATTTTATTCCGTGCAAGTGAGGACTAAATTCCATATCAGTATTTATACAGTCTTATCACTCACTGAGCTTATTTTAATATAAATTGTTGAACTTACCCTTTTCTAAATGCTACTCCTTGCAGGTCGGTTGCAATACCAGAACTACTTTTTAATTTTAGAAGTTATTTATTAAAATTTGTTAGTTTGTAGTGAAAATTAGAAAACGTTACATACTTGATTTTATTTTTTTATGCTTATCTAGGATATGTTTATTGATTTCAGAGAGAGAGAAAGGGAGAGAGGGAGAGAGAGAAAGAGAGAAAGAGAGAGAGAGGGAGAGAGAGAGAAAGAAACACCCATGTGAGAGAAACACTGATTGGTTGCCTCCCATATGCTCCCAACTGTGGATCAAACCCACAGCCTAGGTATGTGCTCTGACCAGGAATCAAACCCGCAACCTTTTGCCGTGCAGGGTGATTCTCCAACTAACTGAGCCACCTGACCAGGGAGCTATAAACCTTTTAGAAAACCTTTTAGAAAAAGGTTTTCAGAGATGTTGGATTCCTTATGTGACACAGAGCTTGTACATTTGGATCTCCCAATGCTTGACACATAGTTGGTACTTCATACACATTCCCTGAAATAAATGTATTTAAAATTTAGTACTTCTCCGGCTGGGTGTGGCTCAGCGGTTGAGCGTTGACCTAGGATCCAGGCGATCGGGGTTCGATTCCCAGTCAGGGCACATGCCCGGGTTGCGGGCTTGATCAATGACTTTCTCATCATTGATGTTTCTATCTCTCTCCCTCCCTCTCCTTTCCTCTCTCTGAAATCAATAAAGATATTTTAAAAATAAAATAATTAAAATTTAGTACTTTACTACTTGCAGTAAAAATAACAAACGAAGCAAGGAAATGCCTTCCAAGACTTCAGATACATAAATTGCCGTCCGCAAATATCATCATTGACTAATCAAGATTATCCTCTGAACAAGGCATAAGGCCCTAGTATAATTTGGAGAATTCAGTACTCCTAAATTAAGGTTTTTATCTCCTTGCAGGTTCCTGAAATGACTGCGTCTGGGAAAAACATACTGACATTGGCTCAATTTCTTGATTTGCCCTCCATGTGACCTTGGACAAGTCAGTTTCTTTGTACTGAGGAATAATAATAGTTCATCTGCAAGTTTCTTGTGAAATTAAATCAAATAATGTTTATAAAATGCCCAATACAGAGTTTTCAACAAAATGTAATTTTATTAGTATAATACTATGTCCTTCCATTTAATCCTTGGAGAAAACAATGCAAAATGCAAATACTGCTTGTGTCACATGTACTTAGCCTTTTCAATTTTTGATATTTCAGTGACCACTTGCTTGGTTAATCCCTTTTCACCAGCTGAAAAATGGAAAAAGAATTCACCATCATTTAAACTTTGAAATAGACTAAGAAAATCTATACCCTGACACCAAGGAACACAGCATTAAAGTTTATTAACCTTCAAATGGTTGGAGCTCCCCTTTATCCCCCCAGAAAGAAGAAAAGGGTTTTACCAAAAGAACAGGTGTTAACAGCAGTGCTTTTGCTGACTTAGAGAATTTTTTTAAATCAAATTGAATATTATTATAAAGATCTTGGTTCCCAAGGGATCCAATAGTTCAGACACCTGTACGTGTTACAGTAAATGACAAAGAATGACATATAAACTCATAATACTTATAGTTGTTAATTTAAGTACATGAACAATTTCTGAAGTGGACCTGATTACAGTTTTAAAAATGATTTTGGGTCTAGACTTAAAGTCTCAAAACTTTTTGGGTCCAACTACCTATTTTGCAGAACTCAGCATCCATGATTTGCCATAACACAAATGGCCTTTGGACTCTCAGAGCCATGTTCTGGTCACTCTACTTCTGTCCTGCTTGCTTGACACGGAAATTCTCATTTCAATTCTAACTAAAGGAAACATTTGAATATTGTTAAAGAGTTTGTTTTAATATGTCCTTTCTTCCTCTAGAGTCTAAAGATGGATTTTAAAATTGAACACACGTGGGATGGTTTTCCAGTAACGCATGAGCCAGTGTTTGTCAGGCTGAATCCAGGTGACGGAGGAGTGATGTTGAAAGTCAGTGCTCCGTTTTTCAATGATCCTCCAGCCCCACTTGGAGAACCAGGAAAGCCTTTCAACAAACTGTGGGATTATGAAGGTAAGTGGAAGTACTGTGTTTTATTGCAAACATAAATCTTTTTATAATAACCTCTCACGGAACTATTATTTTATCTTGCTGTAAGGAAGTGAGTGCTTCTGAGCAACTGACATATACAGTGTGTGATATTTCCTACCAATCTCTTATTCTGACTTTTTCACCATTACCTATGTGGCTTCAACTATATAACTAGAACAGTGAAGAATGGCAATTACAAATCCAGATTTCTAAATTGCTGCCATATGTCCTTCCTTTACCTCTGTTACCTATTCTAAGAAGAGTTCAGCATTCTTGTTTCATCTTTTAAGTATCTTCATATTGCCACTTTAACCTTATAAACCTTCTTTATGGAAGTTTTAGAGTGTTTTAATTTTATTATAGAAACACCATCAAGTTGAATGTGAAGTGTAGTTTTTATTTTATATGTACTGACAAGTAATCTCACACATCAAATGAAGGTTAAAAGGCACCATAAAATTACAGTTTCAAGTTTGCTATATGATCCCCATCTAATGTCTCCTAATTAAGCTACCAAACCTATCTTTCTAAACAACTCTTTATGATGCCATTCCCTAGATCACAAGCCATTCCTATCCCTGAGATAAAGTTCAAACCCTTCATATAAACTTTCAGGCCACTTATGAATTGGGCTATCATATTCAGCCCAAAGCTCTCGACCTCTAAAAGGCAGTGATGTTACTATCTACGCATATCCTCACCCTTGTACCTCTTCTCATTCTGTTCCCCCGCCTCTGACGCACATAGTTCAAGGTCTAAATCAGGTTCCATTTGGTCAAAGAAACTCTTTTAAAAAATGATTTTAGAGAGGGATGGGGAGAGGGAGAGAAACAGCGATGTGAGAAAGAGACATCAATCAGTTGCCTCCCCAGTGCGCACCAACTGGGGATTGAACCTGCACCCTAGGTATGTGCCCTGACCAGGAACTGAACCCACAACCTTCCAGTGCATGGGACGATCGATGCTCCAACCAACTGAGCCACACCAGCGAGGGCCAAAGAAACCTTTGATGATTCTTCTAGTCCCTATTAACATCTACTTTCTCTATACCATCTGCATGGCGTGCACTTTGGCAGTGTTAATTTACCAAAGGTTAAACATATGTTGTCTTTCGCTGATACAGGGCTTCTACAAATCAGCTTCCCACTGGTGTACACACCAGTGTGGCTTATCTACTCAACAAGTCCCAAACTCAGCTTACACACTTTTCTCATAAACCTGCTCTTTCTCTAATTGCTCAGTCTCAATCAATGGCATTCTAATACATCAAATCACCGAATACAGAAATGTGAGATTTTTCCAGTCTCACTCTCCATATTTGGATTTATTTGCTAAGTCTTGCCAATTTCCCCTCCTAACTGTTTCTCTAATTCAGTAGCCCCTCTTTATTCCCACCATCTCTGCTATAGGTTTGGCTGTCATCATCTTTTACCTACCCTAGGGCAGAGCCTCCTAAAATGTCTTTTTGCCTTTAAGCCCATACTTCCCTTTTGGAAGCCAGAGTTATCTATCTAAAATAAAAATTTAAAGTCATCATTCAGCTTCTGCTCCTCAGGCTTCTGTTCCTCCCCGGAGAAGCTTTACTCTTAATATGATTTCTATATAAGATTTTTCATGACCTGGCCCCTTATTCTCTCTGCAGCATCACTTATTAGTACATTGAAAGGTTTGCTCACTTGCTAATTTGGTTATTGCTCTATAGCCTACTTATCAAATATCATGCATACTTTTCATGTCAAAAATCTTTAACTGTGTCTTTGATTTTAATGGCTACATTAAAGTCTACTGCATAGAATACATAAATTCCTTAATTTATGTACTAGCTTTCCTATATAATAAAATATTTATTTAAATTATAGGCAACCATCCTACATAATAGGAGATAATTATTTAGGTGATTTCCAATTTTTGAGCAATACTTTGATGACTAGCATTATATTTACTTCTTCCAGTTGTCTAATTATTTCCTTTAGATAAATTCCTAGAAGAAGATAACTGTCCCAAAGTCTGTGTGATAATGTTGATTTCTTTACAGCCTCATCAGCATTAGGCTTTATTAATCTTTCAATTTATGGCAATCTGATGTGGGAAAATTTGATGATGATTTTTTTCTAAGCAATGTCTATTTATTTTCTTTGTCCCCTTTCCTATTGGGGTTATAGCTATAATTAAGAATGATGAGTTAATTTATTTTGTACCCTAAAGGAATAAAGAAATTATTTATTGTTTAAGCATAATTAAATTTCTCAATATATTGTTTTCCTGTTTTCAAAAGTTGTGGAAGTATTTTTTTTGAATGACATAACTGAACAGTACTTAGAAGTTGAACTTTGCCCGTAAGTATAAAATTTTATTTTCTAATTCATTACTACATAACTTGAACATCCCTTCTTTAACATTGTTTTTTAGTTATAACTCATGAGGTCATAGTAAAAACTTACTAATTCCAACAAACTAGGGAAAATGCTAATATGAATTACATATGATTTCTTACTTTCAAGTCAATGTACAATTTAAAATATATGTTTGGAACAGGGTAGGCAAAGTAGGTTTACAGTTCTATGTGAAACACAGTTTATTCTTATATTATTATTTATTAATCATTGTATTATTTTCCATATGAACAACTGTAAACCTACTTCTGTAACACCTTATATATATTGTAAATGTTTGAAAATATTATGTTGACATTATTTTCATTTTGCTATGTAGTTGATTTTTCTAATAAATTTGAAAATAATTCTTTTTTGCAAAATGAAAAATTATTATAAAACAGAAACTCATTATTTACTCTATAAATTTGCATTAGCATGTACTAGCTATTCAGAAATAAAAGGACATATAGATATAATAAACTATGAAAATGTTTCTTTTAGGGAATTTTTTTTTAATGACCACATTACACTGTAGTTTTATGTAATCCATAATAATGTATCCATGTGTTCCTTCATGTAGTTGTCATTCATTGATTGAGTGTATACTGTGTCATTTTGTGTTCAGTGCTGGGGTACATCACACATGGCTTTTCCTAGACTCATTTAAAGTATTAACCTTGGACTCTCTTTGTTCAAAGTTAACCATTCCCTTGGGAACCTTCTTTACCTGGTTGAAAACTTTTGTCCCATAGATATGGAAAAGTAAATTTATACTGACTTCTCTGTATTATAACAAATTTTAAGTTAGTAAAATATTTAATAATGCAATATTTTTGGTATTGTGATTATTCATTTTAAATGACATTTAAATGCTTCTCAGTATCTACTATCCAGTAGCCTTTGTCCATTTGTAGGCTGGGCAGAGAGTTCTAAGCAATTGGTTTAAATGAGATTTTAGATATCATTTTCTTTTGCCTTATTTTGATTTTTTTGCTAACTAATGTAGAAAATCTAGCTGTTTGCAATTATATTTTTCAGAAGAATAACCATATATCTTTGTGTATCACCTTTCAACTAACATGCCAACATCTTTTATTGAAAAACATGATTGTCTTAAACTGTCACATGAGGTAAAAAATTTCACCTATTGTGTGATTATTTTCACCATACAAGTGAGAAAGCTAAGGCAAATAGATTTATAACTTGTCTACAAGACAATAAAGAACTTGGATCTACTAGAATTCTAAAGTTTCACCCTTAGTTTTACTTTTTGTTGTTGCTGTTGTTAACCCTCACTTGAGGATATTTTCCCTTTGATTTTTTTTTTAGAGAGAGTGGAAGGGAAGGAGCAGGACAGACAGAGAGAGAGAGAAACATCGATGTGAGAGAGACACATTGATTGGTTGCCTCCTGCACGTGCCCCAAGCGGGGCTGAGGAACAAGCCTGAATCCCAGGTCCGTGCCCTTGACCGGGAATCAAACTCATGACCCTTTGGTGCATGGGCTGACTCTCTACCACTGAGCCACACTGGCCAGGGCCCTTAGTTTTACTTTTATTAGATAAAAATACCAGTTTATTTTCATAAAGTAATGACTTAGCCCTGGATGAATAGGATAATTAGATTCTCTTTTGTTAATTTATCACATAAATAAGTTCTAAAAGTTAAAAAACATCCTCAAAGTAGTTTGCTTTCATATATATATCAGGACAATCAATAATCAAGAATCCTGGTTTTGCTTCAGGCAACCAACTCCTGTAACCGTTAATTAATCTCTAGGAAAGCAATGTGAAGAATATTGTTTTTTTAATTTACAAGAACTTTTACTTGTCCTAGGATATTCTTAAGCTAGCATAACAACAATAAAAATAAGCAGAGGAAAGAATACGTGTCATCTGTTAGAATAATTTACTGAAAGAAATCCTCCCTGAAAAGCTCACATTAGGCTCTCTGTGTAGAAATGTTTAGATATGGTCTCCTTCAGAGACAATACATTTGTTTTATGTACCTACTCGAAAGCCTTTGGTTCTTACTGACCCAGCTAGCCCCAGTGATGCTCTTTTATTAGTTTCCTGTTGAGGATATATTGTGTTTCTCTTTGAAAATGTCACACTGGTGTCTGAACTAATGGCAGGAGGCAGGAAGACACAACAGGCAGACAAGTACAGTTTTAGACAATCTATATTTCATATTTTCTTTCTTCCTAATGAGCTTCAAGACAGTTTCTTATAGAAATAACCTTTAGTAAAGTTATTGGATTCAGACCTGGAAAATATGTACCAGCTTCTCGTAGGGTACTTTAGTTTTTGAAACTGGTTTTATTATAAATTCCAAATACCATGGTATCCCTCTACCCCTTTGCTTACTTTGTGTCATCTAACCAACTGAAATATTTAATTTAATTTTATATTTAAAGAATATAAGAAGTGATCTGAACATGTGTAGCTTTTGACTGTAATTGTCTGGAAAATGGTAAACTCAATGATGTCATTTCTAAGTAACTAAACACACTGGCTCTTCCTCTAATTATCCAGTATTCAATGTGCATCTTTTAATTATTTGGAAATTTAGTTACAAATATACACACTGCAGATATGAAGAATAGTGAAGAAAATAATGTTTATTTCTTTCAAACACTCATGAGGAATTTTAATTTTGACAGCCATGGACAGCATTTGGTGCTTTTATTATCTGGAAGAAGAAATGTGTGGAAAGTAAGTAAGTAAAAATGTGAGACAAAGTTTTTAAGTGTGGAAGATCTATGTATGTATTATACTATTTTATATATATATATGTTATATGTAAATCTTAATTTGCCTCTTATATTTCACGTATCGTTTCTGTAGCAAGAACTTGCTCTATCATTTGAAGTGTCCAGAGGAGAGACAAAATGGGAAGGTAGAGCTTATCTTCCTTGGAGTTATTTTCCACCAAATGTGACAAAATTCAATTCATTTGCCATTCATGGATCAAAAGATAAAAGAAGCTATGAAGCTCTTTACCCTGTACCTCAGCATGAACTGCAACCAGGACAAAAGCCTGATTTGTAAGTAGAAAATGAATGAAAGTATTTTCCAACTGTGAGTCTTTTTGGAAGTTATTTCTTGGTAGAGCAATGATAACATATTTCAGTCAAAGGAGACATGTGTACAACACCTAGTAGGGTACCGTGTTCCCTGACAGTCCTCAGTAAGTACTTGACTGACTGACTATGGACAGACGGACAGACTTAGTCTCTCTCACTGCTATAAGTACAGTGTTTATGTTTCTATGGCAGTGTGAGGAAAATCTTGCTTTTTGTATATTGCAACAGCTGGTATAGAAGTATTGTTGCAAATTCATTATGATCCCTTTTGGGCGAGAGGCACCCAGATTCTTGGTGTGAGCAAAGGGCTGATAAATTCTTTCCCTTGATGCTTGAGAATGTGACCTTCAGTTAACTCTCTAGCTGTCTTCCCTTGGTAACCTCATAAGGGTAAAAATGGCAACTAGGTTTTTAGGCAACATGGCCTATGATAAAGATGACTCCTAATGACTCCTAAGTGGTAAAAAAATTGCATCTGGGCAGATAGTATTATGAATAAACTATAAATACCTGATGGGGATAGCATGGCTTTGGATTCCCCTTTAACAGTCATGTTCCCTGTGGAGACCCTAGAAGCTATGCTTGTGGACTTATTACAAGAGATATTGGTCCCTCTGGGCAGTGGATATGTAAACCCAGGTATCTCCTACACTTGCCCAATTTGAGTCTTATCTCTTTGAAGCTGTCACCTAAGGAGAATATAGCTCCTGACCAGCCCTATGAATGCCTCATGGACTGCAGCAAGCTCTGCTCCCTTAGGGATGAAAGCCAGATGCTGTCCAGGGGCCAGTTAGGACTCCTTATCTCTAGCTTTCTGAGTGTACTTAGTGTGGCCAAGACAGTCTGGTGAGTCTGTGTGTTCAGAAGAGCCTAACAGAGACATCCTAGTGTTGCCAGTGGAAATAAAGTCCTTTCACAGAGTTGCAAGGAAAGCATTCTTCAAGACTCATGTATGGGAGGGTGAGACACAGTAGTAAGATTTATTGTAGAAGCAAAATCAGAGGACTGTCCTGGGTTCAGCTCTGTCCCACTGTGAAAGAAGTCCAGCTTTGTCTTTATTAAGCCCAGAGAAAAGGCCAGTGTCCATAAATTCTTTGCCATTGGTTCAGTCCAGCCCAGTCCCTGTCCTCATCTGGCCAGCTTCGTCTGTGTTCCCAGCTAGGCTCCGGCTGGCACTGTTTGGGCCATGCTCGGAGTCCTTGTGGCAAATGACCAGGTACTTTTTCAAACCAACCAATCAACTTCCCAATATTTCACGGACTTCTGTTGGTTCCTGCCTCTGACCAGACCTTTCCTAGATCTTCTGGGGTTCTGTGTCCCTCATCGAATCTGAACCTTTTCCCAGGCTAGACCGACAGGCCTCTAGGGTCCCCATCTTGGCCCCTACGGCTCATGTGCTTACCTCCCCCAGCATCGCGTTGGTTTCTTCTGGGTATACTCCCAGCAGAGAAATTTCTCTTGCTGTTTTCATTCCTCCCCCGGTGATGACCAGTAGCAAACCTTCCTGCCCTCTTCCAGTATTAGGTCCCGATGCAGCCATCCCGTGGGGAGCCTATGAATGCTGCAACTTCCTACTGAAGCAGGCTCAGTGTCCAGTTCAGCTCCCTACTTATTATGCTTAATGATGCCTGATTCCCCTTGTTCCCTTCCTTTATTAATATCTAGCTACCTTTGCTAGCGTTGGTGGGCTTTGCACCCTGGCACGCTGACTTTCCTGCCTTTTCACCCCTGGAAAATGTCATCCCTCCTCTCCCCGTTGGCCTTCTCCTTCCTGTTGTGCTCTTTCTCCACTTTGCCTTCATCTCTTCTATCTTCTTTTTTCTGCCTGACGCACTTTTCCCTTTTCCCTCTGCTTTTTTCCCCAGTCCTGACATTTTCTAACTAGCCGCTTTCTCCCTTCTTTTCTCTTAACCTTCACTGTCGGTTCCTTAACCTCTTCATCTGGGATTGACAGTTGTTACTCAGACTGGTTCAGTCTGGCCAGGTGAGCAGGTGCAAATGACTCGGGGCCCTCATAGCAAGATGGCTTGTTTCTCTGGCTCTTTACTAGCTAATATCTTCTTATTTTTTGGCTCCTAAATCTTATATTCGGCTCAGTTTGTGTTTTTGGAGGCTTACCTTAGGTAAACGTATGATTATACCCTTGGCCAGGGCAGAGCCAAGGCAGAGTGATCTGCTGCAGAGCCAAGTTCCACTGCAGCATCTTAGCTAAACCTTTCTCTCCTCATTAAGCCACAACAGAAATCTCCAGAACTGTTACATGGCATTCCTGAGAAGAAGAGAACTGGGCTTAACACTCTTTTAACCTTTGCTTTGGCAAAGGAGCCTATGCTGTAGTCTATGGAGCTGAAACGTTTTAAAACAATCATTCATATGACTGATATAAACTATATCAAAGTTTAAATATAGAAACATCTGTAGGAATATAATACGATTTGTTTAAGGCCAGATGGAATGAGTCAGGTTTTGAGGGTTGGTTTTAAGTGCTTTGGGGTGTGGGTGAATGTTTTCAGAGCTGAATGTTTGAGAGCTAGAGTGAGAAAATTATACATACACAAGGTATCTTACCTTTGGTGTTCTTAAAATAGAATGTTGTCCTATCACAGATGTGACAGAATGCATAGCCCTTTGGGACAGCTATTTCACAAATGTTTGCATAATTCATTTCAATTCCCACCTTCTCTTTCTTTGCGTTTAGCCATTGTCTGGAATACTTCAAGCCTTACAGTTTTAACACACTGCTTGGAGAGGAGTGGAAACAACCAGAATCCGACCTGTGGCTAACAGAGAAGCCTGATGTGTAGGAGTATAGTAGATGACCATATCAGTCATTTCTTCCCTATACCCTTTAAGGTAAATCAATAATAAGTATAATCTCTTTCAAGATAACGTGAAAACATTTCATCAATAAATATTTTCATAAAGGTCAATGAAAATATAGTATCCCTCTGGCAAATTGTATATAAATTAACAAGAAAATGAAAAGTTGGAAGATGATTGTGTCTAGAAAGTTAAAATTTTTCTCATTTAGTCCAGGGGCCATAGTGTCAATGAATTCTGTCATCTGCTTCGCATCACCCTTCCCCCAAATATCCCTGACTGTCAATCGAATCGTTATTTCTCTTTCCACTTCCCTAAACCGCAGCCAGCCTGAGACAGGAACATTTTATTTGCACATTTTGAACTCCATGTACATTAATTATTTACTCAGAATCTTTTGTCTATCCTTGAACTGAGTAGAAAACAATGACCTATTTCAGCGGAACAGGAAATCCACATCTGCTAAGGCATCATTAAGATACATGTGTTATTTAACTAGCTATTTTTCCTGTCTTATGACTATTTTTACTTTGTAGAAGGAATGGAATTCAGGGAACAACTTCTGCTTTTGTTTATAAAGAAACACCATTTTCTTAATGCTATTAAACAGTGTGTTGAGTGTACTCATTTTATTTTGTAAACATTAAAACATCCTGGTCTATAATTTTTATTTTCTGTTATAACATATTTCAGGGCTTGAAGCCATCTACTAGATCATCTATGAACTTCTCTGCCAAACCTGGCCCTTCTCCCACATTCTAACTCAGAGATTAGCAGTTCTGCAGAAGAAACTTTATTACTTATACATTTATCTAGTTGCCTACCCAACAATATACTTTCTCCACTTCTTTACAAACAGAACTTTAACTTTTAGGGACTCTGCTCAAAAACTACATTTTCCCAGATTCCTTTGCAGATAGAAATGACCTTGTAAAACAGTTCACATTGATGAGATGCAAGTATATAGTGTTTGGTGGGGCTTCAAGAAAAGATGCTTTAAAGATGAAAGGCTCAGCTGCCACACACCTTTTGTCTTTCGCCCACCCTCTCCCTTTTTCCTGAATTGTAAAATGAACCCCTGAGGTAACACACCAGCTGCATTGTGTGAGTAAGGAGCCAACACAGGGGTAGCTGAGTAGAAAGACAAAGGGGCCTGGGTTCCGAACAGCCCAGTAGAGTAATCTATCTGGACTGTCCACCTATTTATACTTATAGGAGAGAATAAATGCCCAATTTGTTTCCCCAAAGTGATCTATAGATTCAATGCACTCCAAGTTCAAAATCCTAGAAGGTTTTTTTTTTTTGGGTAGAAATTGACAAGCTGATTCAAATTTTATGTGGAAATGCCAAGGACTTTAGCCAAAACAATTTTGAAACGTAAGGAAGTTGGGGGATGCATGCTACCTGACTTGTTAACTCATCTTCGGTAGTGAAGACAGTGCGACCTTGGCATAAATTTAGACAAATATGTCAATGGAGCAGAATAGAGAAACCAGAAAGAGAACTATGTAGAGTCATAGTTGATTTGTGACTAAGGTGCCAATGCATTTAAAACGGAAAGGGTATCTTTTCAACAAATGATAATGATATTGGGATAACTGGACAAACATAAAAAAAAAAAAAAAAAAGAAACTTGACCTCTATCAAACATCCTACAAAAAAAAAAGATCCTAAATGTGACTGGTGAAATAAAAAATTCTGGGATAAAATCTTCACAATCTGGAGGAAACAAATTTCAAATAGGACATAAAAAGCACTCACCAAAATAGAAAAAACCCGAAAAACTTCATCAGAATGAAAAGCTTCTCATCGAAAGCCTCAGGTAAGAATGCGAGAAAGCCAGCCAAAAATTGAGATTAAATATTCAAAATACACATCTCTGACAGAGGGCTCTTACCCAGAATATGTAAAAAACTGAAAATCAGTAATAAAAAGATAAGCCAGTTAAAGAGCAAAAGACGTGAACAGACACTTCACAGAAGAAATTTCCAAAAGGCCAATAAGTAAGTAGAAAGGCTCTCAGCCTCCCTTATCAAAGAAATGTGAATTAAAACCACAGGAAGATACTAACTACTGAATGAGCAAAATCACAGGCTATACACAACTGCTAACTGGCTAAAATTGAAAACAAAGAACAAACACACACCTGAAAATACCAAACGTTATTGAGAACCTGAAATAACTCGACTTTCCCGACACTGCAGGTGGGAATGTAAAATGGTGCGATCCCTCGGGAACTGTTTGGCAATTTCTAGTAAAGTTAAATACGTACCTACCCTATGACTGAGCAGTTTCATTCTTAGATACACACTCAAGAAAAATGAATCTTCATAGCAGCTTTATTCGTAACAGTGCCAAACTGTAGACTATCAAATTTCCATCCACAGGAGAATGGATAATCTCATCCAGTCAGGCAATGAATACTACTCATAAAAAAGAATGGCCTGTTGACACAGGCAAAGACCTAGATGAATCTCAAAAGCATTACCCTGAGAAAAGTAAACCAGGTAGAGCATACTGGTTTATATGAAGCCAATTATAGGCAAAACTAGGCTATCCTGAATCAGAACCAAGCTGCTCTGTGTAAGGGAAAGGGATTCTAATGACCTGGAGAGGGGCATGAGGGAATTTTCTGGGGTGCTTGAAGTGTTTTGTATTTTGGTCTGGATGATGATATATACCAGCACACATTCGTCAACATTCCTCAAGATTTGTGATCTTACTATATGTAAAGTACATACCTTAATAAAATAGTGTTATAAAATAAGCTGTAAATAAAATGGCATTCCCTTCAAGTTTATGCTGTTCCATTAAATAATCATTAGTGCTGGTTAAATGTGACTTATCAACGAATGTTTCTTTCATTTATTAAGTATCTTCTCTACCTGAAAAGAGCTGGTGTAAGATTAGTGCTGACTTTTACAAGACGCACTATAACTACATATGGCGGCAGTGTTAGGCGTCTTTGATTAAATTCAGAAGTTATTTTTAAATCGACAACAGGAACTAACTAATTTGATATGTTAACCGCCTGTCCGTTTGGGATAGGAAAGGCACATTTAAAATAACCTAGAATAATTTATAAGTTACTTGAGTTTTATAAATGCATATAAAACACTCAGGACAAAAAATAAGATACATTTTAGGGTATCCTGATTTTAGAAGTGAATCAATCACTCTGAATTACAGGTTCAGTTATAAATCATAACTGTTTATAATGTTGGGGAAAGGTAAGGCCCAAATATATTCTAAATCACAATCACAGCCATATAAAATATTGAATTTGAATGTTGTGGTTTGTGAGCTTTCTAAAACCTATTATGTATTTTTTATCTGTTTGGATGTTTTTTTAAACATCTTTTAACTTTCATCTAGATAAGAAATATGTTCCTCTTTCAATACCAAGCAAGCAAAAACACTTTATGAACATTTTTTTTTGAAAAGAACATGCAACTTAACCACAGAATTTTGGAAAATGTGTCCATTAATAAGATACAAACAGTGCACCCTATAGAAACTTAATATTTGAGAGTGGGTGTTTGTAATTGCTGTTTCAAATTTGTTTTCCAACTTCAGGATCGCTAAAGAGTAATTCCTTTGTTCATAGTGTGCGTGAGTACATTTTCTTGCTGTGGTTTGAATTGTTTACCGCAGTGTCATGCAGATTCTCTTTTCTCACCGCTTAAGTAGATTACACAGTGCGTGCATTTATTCAGGAGCCTTTTCATGCCCCCTCCCAACCCAGTGCCAGTCAAGTATAAGTCACAATCCAGAGGAAAATATTTTCTTTGCTTTTAGCACTAAAATAGTTTTTTACATTAAAAAATTTTGCTGCAGAAAATTTTCATGTCCTCATCTTCCTCTTTCTAAAAAAAATTAGACTTTTGAGGCAGAAGATAATGAATATAATTAATCTGACACTTAAAAAGAAAAAGGGTAGCAAATGGGTGAAGCAGTTACAATAAGCCCTCGGCACTTCTAGGCATGTCTCAATAATACCCCCTTCCCATCAATTTTCTGTCGTATTGTACACGTTGCTTTATTAGAGCAGTTATCCCACAGTGCATTAGAGAGCTCTTCTGACTCGCCCCCAGGCCTCTGCCTTTTTCCTCCAGCAACAAGCTACACCCCGTGAGCCGCCAGCACCTTCCCTCAGCTGCCCTCTGGGCCTCTTGCTTCCCGCCAGGGCTCCGCTGGTGCCTCAGCCCAGTAGACCACCCGCAGGGCCATTCTCACACATGGACTCTCCCGGGTGTGTGACAGAGCTAACACCCCACGGCCAACTCTTGACCAAGGAGGGTAGGAGCCAGTGGACACACTCCTGTCTTTCGTTCCTTGGGTTGACAGTCCTGAGGTCCCTTCCATGTCACTCCTCAGAGGGTCCCTGAAGGAATCGTATCCCGGTGGCCTATAGCAGTGACCAACTACTAACACTCCTTATTTTGCCTTTTCCTCATTTCCTATTTTGCTCTTCCTCGTTCCTCACTCCTGCTTGGAATGATTTAACCCAAATCAACCTATTGGGAGCCCCTGTCCCAGGTCGGCTTTGTGGGTTGTTACCTGATTCTACAAATAAAAATAACGTGGAAGCAAAAAGATGCTCATAAACCCTTCACTTTAATGTGGTACATACACTCTCAAGGAAGATGAGTGTCCAAGCTACTCCTCATTAATAAACCACTTGCAAAGAGAGACACATTTTCCCCCAGGCCCCTCTTGGGTATCATTTATTACGGCCATGTCACTGTCACTGCAGCACGTAGACTTGGGTGGACTAGTGGTCAATCTGAATGCAAATCTCTTAGTATTTATCATGAATGAATCAGAGTGTAGTAGAATATGAGAGAGGAAGAAAACTCAGGCTGCATCTATACTAAATCTTCCTAACTTGGTATTTGTGAAAGATCAAAAGACAAGCTTTAGACGATATGAAAACTTTGGCAACCAAACTTCACACCCCTTGAGTAACTTGCAATAACTATAATGGCTTTTTATCTCTATTTATTTGAAACTGAAGTAATTAGAAGTGATTTATTCTGAGTGATTGTATAGTCTACTTGTGTAGAAAACCTAAAGGTTGTGAATGTTTGCCTTCCTGTCCTTAATATTTTATTGTTTGCAGCAGTGACAGTGCATCTTTTTTCCTTTCTGAGAAGACTGTTTTCTTTTGAAAGTAATGAAGTAGAATGATTTATATCAGTGACTTTTCAACCTGCAGGTTGCAAACCCATTAGGAAGTGGATTACGAAATCTAGTTGGTTATAATGACATAGAATTGAAAATATGAGTGTATCACATTTATTAAATGCCTATGTTGTTTCAAGTGGTTTTTTATTTTGGTTCTAGACACAGAAGTTTAAATCCATCTGTTTAGTGTTTAGAGAGCCCAAGCTTTAAACACCTTGGTTGTTTACAATATTATCTTTTGGTAACTAGCTAACATCCAAAAGATTGTAAGTGATTAGTGTTACTGGAGAAGATTTGGAGGGGAACCTTACACTCAAACACGTGTCCAGTGCAGCTTAAAACCTAGAAACAAATATAGCCTTTTACTCTTTAAATTGATTTTATTTATAAGTTGAAAAACACACCCACATGATAG